ATTCTATATAGTAAGCACACCTGTAATCCTGTACTGAAATTGGCTCACGGCACAACAATTTGATTAAACTCAGTTTAAAAGTAAAATTCACTCATCCATGCTGATAATGTTAATCTAAAAAAAAAAATAAGTACAATTTCCATGCAACACCAAAACGTCTTTTATTTAGAAATGTCACGATATGAAAATGCTGTTTAAAACATTCTGAAAAAGTTTTAAATGGAGCTTTAAAAGAGCTTTAAATGGCAAGAAAGGGCTTGTTTCCTCTCAGGGGTCAAGAAAATATTTGTTTGAAGTCAAAGGTCAAGAGTGTCTGACCTGTCTGTCTAGATATTCCCACTCTACTAGATTACAGTCATAAAACAATTCATCTTTTTGCCTTTTGGCAATACTATAGGTGATCTTAATCCACTTAATCCCCTTCTGAAAAAGAAACGTGTAGCCTACTTGTATTGAATGTACACTTGCAGGTTATAAACTAAAAGGCCACATAAGTGTACATTTTTACTGAACCTCAGTTTTACTTTAAAGTACATTTTAAATCATTATGCTTTAATAATCTACTGTCATGCTTTTAAAAAAGTACACTTATTTTGATGTTGACTAACATACTAAAGGACATGAAAAGTACTTGATTATAATTGTAACTGCAGTCTGTTATTCGATATTACGTTTCAAGAAATTTCAACTTCATCATAACAAATGTGTAATAACATTAATGTAATGTATTTAATATATTTAAATACATATATAAGTCCTACTTAATTAGGACAAAAAAACACTCTAAAATTCAGCTAATTCCATTTAATTCAAATTTAAACTATAATACATTAAAATTTTATCATAAATAACATGCAGTTGAGTGCCCAAAAACAACCTACTTTGGTATCTATTTTATCTATCTATTTATTTAGTATTCTATTTTAAAGTATATTATTTCCTTAAAAAGTAATATTTTTTTTAAGTATGCTAAAGTGTACTTCTTTTTCACAAGGGCCATCAGGGATAAAGCATAAGTTACATAACATTATAATTAGAGCAAAGTTTTGAATTGTTAATCACAATTAAATGTTGCCTTGCCTAATTGCCTTGACATCTGAAAAACTAACAAGGTTCCATGATAGTTACATGCAAGTCGAAACAATGAATCTTCAGCGTCAGAAAGGCAGTTCTTGAGTGTGTTCAATGTAGGCTGCCGGCCTTTGAGCACATAGCACATGAACCTCTGAGCTCCTGAAGCTGTTTCAGAGTTGTAGTTTTAGGAAATAATGCTAAGCATTTCTCACTAGGCATGTGAAAGGCATCCAGCTTATCATTGACCACAAGATGTGCCTTGTCTGGTCTGCCTGATGGTCACCTGGTCATGCTGCCTGGGCAATGGTCAATAACTCCTACCTACCCGTGTGTTTACGCACATTTACAGACATCCAATACCACACAAGCTACACAATCTGACCTGCTTCCAGATTTAGGTGTTGTCAGAAACTGTTTGTGCGTGGATCCCACTAAAAATAAATCTTTGTGAAGCATGAATGGCATCCCTATACATGTGCGGAAGGAGCATACTTATCATTTAATCAACCATTATCAAACCAGTGCCAACGAAGTCTCCAATGACAGTGCTTGGATAACTACTGACACGTGGCACTCACTTCTGTGAAGTGCTTTGGGCTGCTGATTATAAGACCACCATCCCAGCTACCCTTGTGAAAAAGAACTACACTTTAGCTGTACATATTATGGAAATAATATACTTAAAAAGAATATGTGTGAACTGAACGTAATGTTTTCCGACACTTAACTGCAATTAAATGAAAATGTATTATAGTTTCAATTTATATTAAATACAATTAACTTTAGTTTACTTTTGACCCACTTAGGTAGGACTTTGAAAAGGTGTAATTAACATTGTGTGTGCTCTCTTTGTACACTTAAGTGACCTTTTATTTTGTTAATATTATATTATCTCCAAATATTTTTTTTTTAAATATACTTTTAAGAATTGAAGTTTGCTACAAGTGCACATTCAATACAATTAAGCATGTTTCTTTTTCACAAGGGTAGTTTGAACCAGTACTATTATTACTAGTATAACCATTGCACAAAGGATTCCATGTCCACCATCTCTCTGCAACTTGGTTCTGGCCTTCCTGAGCAAAAGCAGTCAAAATCTACCGGACGTTTTGTGACATCAAATTTTACAGTGGTGTACTGCAGGGCTTTGTACTGAGCCCGCTGCCATAAACCCTGCTGACCCATGACTGTGCTAGCAAACATAAAGATAATCACATCATTAAGATTGCTGTTGTTACTACAGTTCAAGGACTCATCAGCAGCAATGATATGACTGCTTGAACACAAGGCCTAGTTTGACGACTACAACTCTTTTAACATCTGCAAAACAAGGAATTTGACCGTTAACTTCAGACAGCACATAGCAACTTGTTCTCCTCTGCACATCAGTGGTGAAGCAGTGCAAGTGACATAGTCTTCATAATTTTTTAAAAATAATTCAGAAACTGCTTAACTGTACAGTATCTGAGCTCATAAAGGCCCAGCATGATCGCTAACTGACATATGCTATACTTGCATAACTGCGTTCTGAAATCTTTTTCAAACAGTGAATAGAAACTGGGCAAATTATCAGTATACTTTTAAACCCATTAGGCTCGTGACTTTCAGATACACAATCTGAAAGGTGAATTAATAAGCTTTCCATTGATGTATGGTTTGTTAGGATAGGACAATATTTGGCTGAGATACAGCTATTTGAAAATCTCGAATCTGAGGGTGCAAAAGAAAAAAATCTAAATGTTGAGAAAAAAATATTTTCAATTTGTCCAAATTAAGTCCTTAGCAATGCATTTTACTAATCAAAAATTATGTTTTGATATATTTACACTAGAAAATGTACTAAATATTTTCATGGAACATGATCTTTACTTAATATCCAAATGATTTTTGGCATAAAAGAAAAATCGATAAATTCGACCCATACAATGTATTGTTGGCTGTTGCTACCCATGTGATTTAAGACTGATTTTGTGGTCCAGGGTCACATATCATAGATATCTGCTTATATGGTATGTCTTTGATGTGTTTTGAATGCTATTATGCTGGTTTCCCCACATTAACCAGCTTCACCAGCTAAGTCTTTCTTCCTCATTGTATTTTCTATGAAAGAACACCAGCTCCTAATACACTTCTGTGAAAAGACTATTGGGGACATTCACTCTGTCATATAACACTACAATATACAAGATTATTTTATGCAATTTAGAAAACAACGATTACACATCTCTGAAATAAACTAGCAGTGTAAATAAATGTAGATAAACTAGAGTGTACCAAAACACAAGAAACATTGGGTTTGTGAGTCTAACCATGTCTAGACAAGAGTTTTCTCTTGTCTAATCATCAACAATGTGCAATATGGGCTGGATTGGTCTCTTGGGAATCACATATTTCATACAGAAATAAAAGAGAGAAAGAGAATGGGCTAGAGCAGGGGTGTCCAAACTCGGTCCTGGAGGGCCGGTGTCCTGCATAGTTTAGCTCCAACTTGCATCAACACACCTGCTTGGAAGTTTCTAGTATGCCTAGTAAGAGCTTGATTAGCTCCTTCAGGTGTGTTTATTGGGGTTGGAGCTAAACTTTGCAGGACACCGGCCCTCCAGGAGCAGGATTGGACACCCCTGGGCTAGAGCTTCAAATACGTGAGGGTTTCCTGAGGCAGGAAACCAGAAAGAGCTTGAGTGCGAGGGCAAGACAGAGTGAAGAGAGAGGGGCTCATGAAACAAGTGCTTTGGACAAGATAAACAGTTTTACCCTTATCAGTAATTGCTCTGCAGGAGAAGGGCACGTCTCAACAGATGCTTCGTGCGCACAAGAAAGTGAGCAGCACAAAAATGACGTAAATGACTTGACCCCTCTCCAACTCTACAAGACTACTGTTGGGAAAACTGCTTAAGTGGAAAAAAGCGATTAAGGGTGGGTCTGATTCATGTGATAAAGCTTGAATAGGATGTTTATTTGGAATCAAATTCAAAATTTCTCAAATTTGGACCAAAAGATAATTCGGATCTGGTTTACCAGTAACAGGACACTGGAACCCTAACAACAACCCTGGTTTTATTGACAGAGCCTTTTTTTATGCCAGTCAACAGATCATTGTGTTTGTCTTGAGCAAATATGAACATCCATGTCTGTTTATCTTGCATTGATTCTCAGCTCACTTTTGGTCTCCAGTTTCCACATTTAAATCTTATCTGTAGCCAATGACTGAAAATAAACACTTAACTTGTGAAACAGTCGAAACTATGGATTTTCCATCAGATTTTTCCAATCAACTTTGTTGTATCGGAGAAAGAGAACTTTAAAGGGGTTTTGTAATGTGTTAGCTAGTCCTCTCCATCTGACAGTCTGTTCTTACTGTATAAAATTGATTTTTGCATTTTTTAAAGAAAATATGAGCATCCTTGCATGTGCAAAAATTGCTGCCAATGCCAAATGGATATTTGGATGTTCAAGTTACTGGCCCAAGTCAAGAGCTCACCTATAATTTCTAATATATCTTCAACAAATGAATATGGGATTGTTTTGCTCATTTTATGAGCTAAGGTGGAAGTCTGATTGCTTAGAAATAAGTCGCATGATTTGAGGTATGATTAATGTCCGAAGATTATAATACTTCATCAAAATCCAAATAGTGATTCTTATCTAATAAAACACCACTAATTAATTATCACAGTACTGAAGCTAAAGACACAGTTATGTCTGTTGCAATGACAAGCATTTGATCTTTAGTACTGATTAATAATGTACTTAACAGTCAGAAGTTTAAATTTGTGGTTATCATTTAAGAATACTTCAAATAAACAATAGGGTGCAGAAATGACAATATCATAAAGTTTTTATTGAAAATGAGTTCTCGTACAAAAAAAAACACTTTGGCAATTTAGATACAAAAATTATACTTTGCACATTGCAAATTTGCACTGCTTATAATAACAGTAACAGTCATCTTACATTCTATAAGAAACAAAACACACACAATGTTCAGGAAGATCTCCACAAGTGAAATGTTCATCAAAATGTCTTCAGGATATGTCTACACACAGTGCAGCTTCTGGTCTCGCAAATGAATGTGGTCCAAACAGACCCCAATTTTGGCACTTGAAGTATTAAGTTCTTTTTTGGCCTAATGTTCAAGTCCACAGTGGAAGAAGCAACATCAGTGGAGCCCTTTGTTAGGACGAGGTCTTAAGTTGCGCAAGCAATGCTTGATCCCTCAATGAACATTTTTGGAAGACAAGAGAAAAACAAAATAAAAACAGGAAATCTCCCTGCGAGTAGTTATACAGCAACTTTTATCCATAAAAACTGCATTCAAATTAAAAACAAAACACTGGTACATTATATACACTGCAACTGCATGATTTTCCCTTGTTGAAAAACTCAATATACTACACTTCTTTCTTCATATTTCAGTAACTTAGAATAATATATCTCTGGACAGCACATTAACTTAACCTCACAACCAACATAAAATCAAACAAATGTGTTGAATGTTTCTACAAATGAAATCTTCCATCCCCACAGAAAAAAAAAAAAAAACCATTACGGAATGATAACGAAAATGATGAGCTAAATGCTATTGAAAGTTATACTGGGGATTACTGGAAAGTACATGACCACCATTTGGGAAAGTCTATGTGTGCTTAAAATCGCTATAATGCGGCACAATCAGTTTGCGCCTCAGCAGTAATCTCAAGAAAGAGCAGCTCAAACACAGTGAAATACAGCACGCCAAACAGCCCGAGCACCTTCTTTCAGGCCCCGAAACAGCATCAATAATATATGACAGAAACACGTTTAACTTGATTGATGCATGATATAAGATGGCTGTCAGCAATGCAGGCACAAGAGAGCTCAGACTTCACTCCTTCTTCCTCTGAACTTCGACTAGCTCATCCTGCAGAGGGGCCACTCGGGCCCCAAAATCCTCCGCTTCATCTTCACTTCCACACATCCATACGACACTTCTCAAACCACCTCTGATCCACATGGTGAAAGCCTGAAGTGCTTAGAGTGGAAAAGAAACCCATTTACGATGGGCAACAGTTCAGTTCTAGTGCTCTACCAGCTTGGTTCAGCAGACAGGAAGCATGCGGGCGTTGCCGTTGTATTCCTCCTCCACCTGAACGATAGAAGAACAAAAATTAGATTGATTTTCTATTGATATCCAGTGATCAGTATACACTAAGCGGATATACTTTACACTCACCTCAGAATAAGAAGGGAGTGGAGGGAACTGGAATTGGGGTGCGTTCATGAAGATGGGACTGTCTCCGCCATCATAGTCATCTAATAGAGGCGTCAGAGGTTGGTCCAGGCTGCAGTCACGTGTAACGTCGCAGTAGCTTGGTGGCACGGACGACGGCATCCGCAGGGAAACCCAACTATTCGATGCATTGCTGACAGAACCATCCTGGCTGCTCATGCTGTTGGTGCGGCTACCAAAACCATTGTAGGGAACGGTCCCAATGACCAAGGGCAGCTCCAGAACCAACTTATCACTGCCAGGGATGTGCATGTAAATCTGTAGAGAACAAAAGAGCTGTAAGTAAGCGCCTAATAGTTTTTAGATGTAACAGTATGATGTTATAGCAATTGTGAAAGGCAGCCCTCACCATTAGCGCATATTCCACCCGAATGATGTTGCAACCCAAAATGGAGGGCTTGATCTTGGGCACACGGATGCTCTTGCCCTGCCAGGCGTCGCACATGCCGGAGATGATGTGGTTGCCACGTACTGAGGAGAGTTTTTGCCTGAAGACCTTGGTGCGCCCGTTGGCCTGGTAGGAGTGCTTGGCGACGATGGCCGCTTTGGGTACCACGATGCGAGAGCAGGTGTTCTCAAATTTGGCATCGATGCAGATCTCTTCACCCTCGCAGAAGCCACGCCTGTCGATTTTGGCGTTCAGAGAGACCTGGCCGTCTGGGATGAACATGCAGGTGACCTTCTTCTCCTTCATGCCTCCAGTAGGGGACTGTTGGATGGAAAACAGAAATGATGAGGACATAGTTCATTGCTATGCTCAAGGAACCACAAAGATTGCAATCAAAGTGCGCACATCCAACAGGCCAAAAGCTCAATGTGGGTGCTCAACCACAAAAACGATTTCAAACAGTAAAAGCAAAGTTGCCACAGCTCCAAAAGTAGAAAAATATCTATTTATGTTTTCACCACAGGTGATGCTCAAGGAACCACCAATGATCAGAATTTTGAAAAGCCCAATCAGAAGTGAAGACATGATTTGTGGCCTACAGCTCAAGTGAATTACTGATATGAGGAACTCACCAGCAAGTCTGGGGTGTTGACATCCAAGGGCTCCTCAACCTCAAAGTGCTTCTTACACTCCAGGGTGGGCTGAGCGGGTCTTTCCATCAGAGCCTTCACGAAGTATTGAACATGCCCAAACTTGCCCTTGTAGGAAGACACCAGTTGCCTTTTGAGAAATAACACTTGTATTAATTAACCAACAAACGACTTAGAAGGAAATGCATGCCAGGTGCTGGTCAACTGCAATGCTTACCCTTGTTGAGGAAGCTCAAAGCCAAATGAGTAGTCATACTTGTTGCCAGGACGGAGGATGACCGAACCATCGGTGTCTGTGAGAAGATAAAACATACAAGTTTCGAAGAGTTCTAAGACATCATGATACAAACAAATGAAACAAACCCATTAAAAACAAAGGAACCCCCCTTACTATGAACTACCAGTGTGACTTCACTATCAGTTAAGACCTTTTGCTGAGATGTTTTTAAACTAGAACTATTTTCACATTAATAACACATTACTGTAACACATTTATTTAAAATATCCAGTATGCATTCCTTTTTCACAGTGTCACATTCCAACATCAGCATCATCTCAACAAACCCACCTACCAAAGCAAAGTCAGCTTTAAACACACACTTAAAACAGTTTAAGCTCACCTGCTGGATGGTCATCCAGGTGGACAAGGTCTTCATACTTCAGATAGTCAACTTCTTCACGGCATCTCTGTTTGCCTTTGGCGTACTCCACTTTAGCGCATCCGACTCCCAGGACCTTCATGGCCATCACCCTGGTCACCTCCGACACCTCCACCAGGATCTTCCCGGCCACTTTATCTCCACTGCAGTAAAAGGTCTTGGATGGGTCGTTGAAGGCGATCTCGAAGACCTTGACTCCTTTTGTCATCGCCACCATTGTGTTGTTTTATAAACTTCCAAGCCGCAACGAAATGAAGATACGCGTCTAAAAGTTGGTAATTCAACCAGATATTAAGTAGTCCTTCAAAAGTGCGTCCAAAAAGCTTGACCTGGTATGAAATGCAGCAAAACCAGTGCTTTATGTAAATTCACAATTCACACACTCCTCTCTCGCATGGTCAGTTTGGGAGCTTTGAGCACGCTGGGCTAGGCTAGGGCTTTATACCCAGACGCGTCTGCCAGTGACTCACTCGGCTTGTTTACCACTTCAGCTGTTCATGTGGAAGCGGTATGCACAGCATGGCTCAGCGCATGCACAGCGCTCCCATTGGTCGAAATTCGCTGTTCGTGTCGTCGCCAGCCAATCAGCGGCCAGAAGCGACGCGTGGACACCTCGTGGCTGAGAGCGCCGAGCGAGTGCGCAGCAGCTGCAGGCAGAACAGAAGAAGGGAGGAGGCGCTGGAGGAGTGAACAAAGGAGCGGGATGTAGCAAGAGTATGCTCAACTATTTAGAGAACCAATGAGAAATTCAACCGAAAACTTCACTGTGTGTGTGCTACGTGCACCGTTTGGATGTACTAGAACACAGCTGAGGCGGTATTCCCCCGAAAGAAACTCAAGCCTAGTTTAACAACATCCGCCGACTAAGAAAGCACTTGCCTGTGTTTACAAGATTAGTGCTGACCTCGAAACCGCATACTACTCTTGCTATTAATATGCATTTATACACGTTTATACATACAGTGGTGGTGGCCAACATTATTAGAGCACTAGTATTTTCAGCCACCAGCTAAAAAATGGTTTTAAGTCAGTTAATTCTATCTTTTGCTGTAGTGTGTCAGTAGGAAATATCAGTTTACATTTCCAAACATTCATTTCCCTAAAAAAGGTTTTCATTTATAAAGCTCTAAAAACCGTACTGACTGATGTTTTAGTGCACTTCCTGCAAATATGGAAAAAATAAATAAATAAAGGGTCTCAGTGAAATATGTGCAGTTTCACAGGGTTAGCGCAACCTGTCACATGACCAAAGCAGCGTAATTCCTGCTTGCAGCGCGAGAAGATGAAGGCTGCATCAAAGCCACAAAACGAACGTATGTTAATAAAGACATGGCAAAGATTTTTGCTACACATTATCTGTAAGGTGTCTAGTATAAATATATGAATTCACACTTTTGTTGTGTGCGGTCATCGAATGAGTAAATTCTTGATGGTCACAATAGTGACCGGTGGGATAACAGTACAATATATAAATCCAGGTGCAGTTGTTAGTGAAAATTGCACTAAAATGTTGCAATGACAAAATATTGCATTAAATTAAAAGTTAAAATGTTACAAATAAGTTACAATATTGATGTTGTAAAACTGGGAGCACTATTATAAAATTTGATGATATATGTTACAAAAAATGGAAATATGTTGATGGTTGTATTTGTTTGTCTTTTATCTCAGTATTCCTATCAATGTTGTATAGGGTTTTTTTATGCATAATGGTAACCCTAGAACGTGATCAAGCTGTTTAAAATAGCTGGGCTAAGATATATAACCATTTTTATGACTGCAGAAATATAATTCAGTAAGCTATAAACATTATCCCACCAGTCACAATTGTGACCGACCATAAAACAATTGTTCACACACTTTTCCAAACAAATAATTATTGACTATTTTAAAGGGTTACTAATGACACATCTTTTGATTTAACAAGTTGGGATTAAACGGGTTAATTGTAATAATCAAGTGAGATTTTTGTCTGACAAACAGCCAGTGCTGCACACAGAGATCTGATCTGATCATCACCAGTCTGTCTGAGATCACATGAAGAAACAGAACAAACTGAGACGGACTCAATCCAGACGAACTGTGGCAACGTCTCCGAGATGCTTCAAGAAACCTATTGCGAAGATACAGTACTGTTAAAAGTTTTAGGCACTTGTGTAAAAATGCTGTAAAATGAGGATGCTGTCAAAAATAATGTCATAAATAGATCTTCTTTATCAATTCACTTCTATTAACTAAATTAAATCAACATTTGGTTTGAGCATCCTTTGTGTTTAAAGCAGCTTTTGCCCTCAGTGCACTTGCACATAGTTTTTTAGGTATCTTCGCAATAGGTTTCTTGAAGCATCTCGGAGACGTTGCCACAGTTCGTCTGGATTGAGTCCGTCTCAGTTTGTTCTGTTTCTTCATGTGATCTCAGACAGACTGGTGATGATCAGATCAGATCTCTGTGTGCAGCACTGGCTGTTTGTCAGACAAAAATCTCACTTGAATAAACTTGTTCAACATCTTATGATACATTCTACAATAATGCAAGTTTATAGTTGCATATGGTTTAAGTTTAAGTCTATGGTTTAAGTCTAATTTTCATCTGTAGACTCAAGCCTACCCTAAAAAAAGCAAACATAGCATCTTATAAAAAAATAGGGGATAACACACACACACACACACACACACACACACACAAATATACATGTATATATACAAGCAACATAATGCCACACATAAATCACACTAAAAACATTGTATTGTAGAAAAATGTATCTAAACACATATTGTGCTATTGAGCTGACCTCAAACATTCTACACACACACACACAAAAAAAAAAAAAAAATTATTATAATAAATATAATAATAATAATTTAGTTATCGACCATTTCCAGACGGCTCTTTTTGGCTGTGGAAAAATACAGGCCTCTCTCACGGGGAAGTGTTTCTACTCCACACAAGTGCTCTGTTTGCTGGAGAGTAGATCTCTTCACCCAAGGGACCATTTAACATGATGACTGACTTGTGAATTTGATGATAATTTGTGAACAATTAAAGAGTAGGCTTGGCAGAAATAACGAGAACAGAGAGCAACAGCGCCTCCCACTGGAAGAAAGATTGCCGGGTTGACTGTAACATTGGCTCCCTCTGCTGGTCACACTCGCGTATAGCACCATCAAATGGAAAAATCTGTCAAAATAATTTGAAAATATTTTTATATTCATATAAAAAAAAAATACTTTTTAAATTGAATGAAATAGGTATAAAAAAAAATGTAAATTCATGTGCTGTGTCATTTTTGTGTGAACTGTATTAATTTAACAGATATTTCTCTGCGCTGTAAGCCGCAAACGATACCTTGACACTTGATTGAAACTGACCTCCTATGGCATGCAATTCATCTAAATGGTTGAAAAGACTTTTTTCGGTGTCCTACAACACAACTGACAGTTGCTAGTAGCAACCATAGAGCGCAGTACTTCCAGGTGAAAAGTCACTTAAAAGTCTCTCCAATATGGCGGCCCCCTTGGAGTTGTTCTGCTGGAAAGGCGATTATGGATTACCTTCAGTAGATGTCGACTGTTTAACTGTGCTGGTAAGAGAGAAACACACCGGTTGGGTGTATATCGCAGTAGTTTTGCGGTAAATGTGTTGTAGTTGTGAGATGGGCGGTGTCAGAGTCACACATGTCTGTATGGGCTCATGCTTTAAACTCTCTCATATAATAAACAATTGTATATCTGATAAAATATCGAACGATCCTCTTGGTTCAGCAATTACAGTAATTTTAAGGATCATAAATGAATGTATGCAAGGTGTATGTTATTCCGATCATGTTCATGTTTCATGATCAGTGTCACAAACAATTGACTAGTGGCCTAGTAATAATATAGAATCTTACATTTATCATTCAACTCCTAATATTTAATTGTTTAAAATATATATAAAAAATGGAAATCTTATTTCATAATATATTTTAAATTAAAAAGGAAGAAATGATATTTACAATTATTATATTATTGCGACATTCAAATGTATAATACTGTGATGTTGTTTGTCATTTTTTAATGAGAATGACTGATATTAAGTTCCCCTTAAGATTATTTATTAATTTCTTAATTTTGACAGTAAATCCATTAGCATACCTTTTTTTTTCTCGACAAAGACTGTATGTTTGACTATAGAGCATCTTAAAGGAATAGTCCTCACCCTCGGGTCATCCAAAATGTAGAGTTGGTTTCTTCATGGGCACAGATTTGGAGAAATGTAGCATTACATAATTTGCTCACCAATGGCTCCTCTGCAGTGAATGGGTGCCGTCAGAATGAGAGTCCAAACAGCTGATAAAAACATCACAATAATCCACACCACTCCAGTCCATCAGTGAACATCTTGTGAAGTGAAAAGATGCATGTTTGCAAGAAACAAATCCATCAAGATGATTTTAACTTTAGTCTAAAATACGAATCCTCTATCTTGACTTCTCTATATTGCTTTCTGCAGTAAAAAAGTAATCTCTGTTTATAAGTGAAAACAGTTCTAAACAAATATGAGGTGGATTTTGATGCATTTTTCACTGGAGGAAGCATTATTATGGATTATGGACTCATATTTGGGCCAAAAGTGATGGCTAAGAAGTTGAAAACATCTTAGTGGTGGATTTGTTTCTTTAAAAAAAATAAAAATAAAACGCTGGTTGGACTCTCATTCTGACGGCACCCATTTACTGTGGAGGATCCATTGGTGAGCAAGTGATGCTGAATCTCTCCAAATCTGTTCCGATGAAGTAACAAACTCATCTACATCTTGGATCATCAAATTGTCAGTTTTGGTTGAACTACTGCTTTAAGGAGGGCACAAGCAAATGTCTTATTGTTACACTGATCCTCCACCCCCTTAAAAGCAGAGATGATGAGTGTTCACATCTAATATAAAACTCCCATTGTTTGTTTTTTTAATCAGTAATAGTGTGCAGTGGCCATGTGTGTCTGTTATCACTTGTCTTTGTTTGTGTACACTCAGTGTGGATGATGGTAGAGAAAGACAGGATTATCTGCTGACTGACACAGCTGTCTAAACAGCCAGCGGTTTGTGTCTGCTGGGGGAGTGAAGGGTCCTGTAGTGCGGAGATCCAAACTCCCCAAACACAAAAACAAACAGTAACCGAGAGCTTCTCATGTTTCCCGACAGTGACGGGAAGAGAAACGAAACTTCAGGATTTCAGGAAAAACTGGGAATCACATTGAAAATTGCTTTGTTGGAATATGTTAGATAAAACTATTCTTAAGTGAAAGGCCAAAAAGAAAAAAAAAGTGGTGCGTTCAATAATTTTACTGTTTTTTTCTTATTTCCTGAAGTTGAGCATTTCTTTTTAATTTTCATTTATGCATTTGGCAAAGGCTTTTATCCAAAGATACATACATTGCCCATTTTTCTTGGGATTCAGAGGACAACAGGCTCTAGAGTTTCTCACTGG